GCAGTGTCCACCTTAGCGCAGTCAACTGAAAACAGGTGTATTTCGAGCTTTACCCCCAAATATTGTTAAGATTAATAAGTAACTAGTCTTAGGGTTGTTTGATTACATGGAAATAGAGTTACAGGATTAAATTGTACTACCTAACGGACAATAGTAGCAAAGACGGCAAACAATTTAGTGGGGAGAAAAGTTGCAGTCTTCTCAAAACAAGGACATTTGAAAATAAAAAATATTTCCAACTCATCAAGAAACTCCTTTTTAATTCTAAATAGCAAAAACATTTGACTTTTGCACTTATTGTTTTTCAACTCAACATTGAATTGTATGCAACTGAACATTGAATTGTCATTGGAATTCACTTCCACGATAAAGTTGCAAATATTTAAACAATAAAATTTGAAGTTGGTTTTCCGCAACAAATGTTGCAAGCATTAACAGTAGTTTGTGCCATGTTTGTTAAAACCTAATTTCGCAAGAAAGCAAACAATACTTATCCAAGCTACTACTCTTTCAACCAGCATGACATAACTTTTGACTCTCATGATCCATAATAGTGGTGTCTTAAGGAGGTTTTCCTCGCGTGGTGGGAAAATAACATTGACAATTCAGATATTAAGAATTAAACAATTACTCTGAATTGCTTACATTTAATCGTCTTCACTTTCACTTTCTTCAACCACCTCTTCATAAGCTCTTTGTTAGTGAGCTCGTATTTTCTTTCCTCTAGATGACTATAGCCTCTAATAATTTCATTAACAATCAGATGAGTCTTTACCGACTCTCGGTTACCAGACTTCACATTACAACATTTAACACATGGGCATCGAATTTTAGAATCTTTATTCTTCCATTCGGGGCTACAGTTTTTTGCTAACTTCTCATATGCATAGTTGTTTAAAAATCATGCATTAAAAACCAAAGACAAAGGTAATTGTTTATTTTGTAAAAAAACAAAATAAAAATCATCTACGGTTGCCTACGAGAACATAGGTGGAAATTTTTTTAAATGCTTATGATAGTTGTTTAAGTGACCGTAGGAGATGCACTTAATCACACTGTTGATCATATTAATGTCATGCGCGCATATTGTGTGGCTATACTACCATGCGCTAACTCTAATTTACACAAATTACTAAGGCACTGTTTGGCAATAAGAGATTATATCGTATCTAAGAGATTGTGTCTTATTGACTTGGTCAATAAGCTAGTAGAGCTGTTTGGTGACCAAAAATAGGAGGAGGTTATTTTGAAGATTGTGTCTGTAGACGTCTAAAAATGTCTATAGGTATCCACACACAGCTCGAGACAGAGAGAATGTGATGAACACTATTATCTAAGTCTAAGAGGATTATCTGATACCGATGAACACATGAAGCGAAACGGCGAACCGAATAGCCTGTGCACTCACCGGCCACCTCCAAGTGGCCTGCACGCTCACCAGCCACCAAATCGGCGAACCAAGTGTCCTGTGTGCTCACCAACCACCACCAAGTGGCCCACACGCTCATCAGCCACCAAAATAACGTATAAGTCAACGAAGCGACGAAATACGCGTAACGACGAAACAAGTCAAAACCCAAAAAAACCAATAAAAGCCGTTGGCGGCTGAGTCACATCAAAACGACTCGGGCGAACCAGGGGTTTGGCCCGTGAACTGTCACCTGGTGGCTTGGCCTTGCCCGACCCACCATTTGGTGGCTCGGCCAGGCCGAGCCACCAGGTGACTGTTCGACCAAAATTCGATTTTTTCGGTTCTTTGACGGATTCTTTTGGGATTTGAGTGTTCCTGGGCGTTCTAACTGATCTGATATTGTGGTTGTATAGTTGTTAACTGAAGATACAGAGAAATCCATCAGTCTCATCCAAATAACCGCATCTGAGGCCTATAAATATGACCCAAAGGCCTCCATTTTAGAGGGGGGCATCAAGAGGGCGAAACGCTGCCGAATTGGAGAGTGAAGCCACGAATTTTAGCAAGGGTTAGCAGATCTTGATGATCTCCTGTGCATAAAGAGTGGAGTTCGAGAGATCCGAGACCCGTATCCTATTCCTCCGGATTTAACCTTAGTCTTAAATCTCGAGAAGAGCCGTGATCTCGCTTGGTCGAGATCACCACTGCAGTGATTACTTCCTTCGTGAAGTAAGAGCTTTGATCACCAATCTGTCAACCGGATCTGATCCGCGGCGGTCCACGGATATTAACAGCCCCGGCACAGGCAAAGTTCTCACGCAAGCAGCGGGTGATAAATGTCTGTTGCGTTGTTTGACAAGAGTCGTATATTTTGTATTTTTATTGTATAAGAAGATCTTATAAAAAGATCAACTTTTTATTTGAGTTTATTGTAAACGATTAAAGTTGTAATAGATTCAATCACAATAAAAACAACGATTTTTGACCCAAACAAGCTGGCGACCACAGTGGGAGCCAACAGCTTCGCTGCCGAAGCTGTCGTGCCGCAACCAATGATCCAGATCCCGGTTGAAGAAATGGTCGAGTACGAATTCGACCAACTGAAGTTCGAGGAATATCTGTCGTCGTCCTCCTCCAGACCCTCTTCCCCTCGCAAGCATAAGAAGATCAAAGCCCGTGTTGCCGTTGAAATCTCGCCTTGCAAAGCCCCTCCGGCCTCCAACGAGCCCGGATCTACAGATCTAGACCCTTCCTCTGTCAAGGAGTCAATCACAGAAGGCACGCCAACCTTATCGAAGAGGGCACACCAAAGGTAGCGCCAACGACTTGCGCGCCGACTTGCCAAGTCTTTGGAACCTGTTGACGGGATTGACTATGAGGCGGATCTAAAACACAGAAAGAACCGAGTTCCCCAGCGGCAAACAGATGCCCTCTCCTCCAAACCAACAGCGAATGAATGGATCTAAGTCAAACGGACCCGTTCAACCCTCGAGGAGCGCATTCAGAAGGGCCGCGCCTTGATTGCGCACGCACAGATTCTCGTGTAAGAAGCGCAGAGGTTAAAGCAAAAGGAGGTGATTAAGAAGTCACCAAAGCTACGCCAAGTATGGAAACCAAAGTCCGAAATGGAGTTAAAAAAATCGAACACCGCCTGAAACTCGCGAACCAGCCTTTGGTGGCTCGGCCAAAGCCAAGCCACCATTTGGTGGGTTGGTTCGCCTCGCGTTCGGTTCACCTCCCATGGATTATTTTGAGTTTCTGACGGCCCCTGTTCCTATCCCAATAGATTCCACACTTCCGGTGAAGCCTCACGACCACAGAGACTCGTCTCGTTTCAAGATAAGGATGACGGATCGCCTGGGTCCTTTGCACAATGATTGAGGTAAAGTTCCGATCAAAGAACGCTTAAGTCCGGTGACTGAACCCCGAGCAACCACTCGAGATGGGGGTCGCACACGCCCTCGCAATAAGTCAGGGCCTTTGTATAATGGGAACCCCTGCACTTGACCGCCTCAAACGACGAATTGAAGTCCAAGAGCCCGTCAAGAGTTCGCGCTCCCAAAAGCGTAGCTCTAAATGCGCGACTCTTGAGGACGCCAACAAGGCATCAAGTCCTCGGAAAGAAACGTATTCGTCAGACGATGACGTTATACCTGATGAGTTATGCCAACATACGATAGGTTGCTCCGGTCTTCAGACCGATGACTTGTACTATCGGGCTGGGGGTACGAACAGTCTCGAAAGAGAAGTACCCGAGAGACGGACTCTCATTGTCCGTGCACAAATATTATCAGGGCAGTTTTATCGGCGTGTAGCTGTCCCAAGGCCGCTCCACAAAGGGTCTCGGTATTTGAGAGGATCTCTAACGGAGCAACTAAGTCCAAGCAAAAATGTTTCCGCAAGAAACAATCGGCCGTTCAAGGTGTCGAATTTCCGGAAGTCACAATAAATATGGTTGATAAGGGAAAGTCGATTCGACCTTCTAGCTCTGACCCGCTTATATCGCATCGTCTAACCTGGTTGTGATCGGGAACTATTAGACAAAAAGATTATCAGAGAATGCAGAGAGGATTATCCTCGGATGATGAAGCATCAGATGCCAACTCTGCAATGGCTTCTGACAAAACGATGTCTAGCCCAGGATAATCCCACGAGGCATTCATGATCAGCACCGAGCAAATCGCCAAAATTCTCGAGGATGCTCTAACCAAACAGAAAGAGGCATTTAAGATTGAAATGGAAATGGCTATGCTACGGATGAGAGAAGAGCATGACCAATAAATTCGGGCTCTGTCCAATCAGTTCAGTGAATCCAGCCGTCGCAACTTGCTGACCAAACAAGTAGCAATTCAGACGTGGATGAATATATTAATGCTGATGACCCTCTCATTGACCAGAACGTTAGGGGTGGTCCCACTAAAAACAACGACGCTGGGGGTGATCCCACTAATGATGACAACACCGGGGGTGACCCCGTTATTCATCTTGAGAATCGTCCAGAGCCCGATACGAGCGAGGATGAGAAAATGAAGGACCTTGAGAGAAAAATCAACGCTCTGATGTT